CATTCTCTCTCTCTCTCTCTCTCTCTCTCTCTCTCTCTCTCTCTCTCTCTCTCTCTCTCTCTCTCTCTCTCTCTCTCTCTCTCTCTCTCTCTCTCTCTCTCTCTCTCTCTCAGCAGAAACTTACATGCACAGACTTGCCTGCGCACTGCACATGTACCCAAACTCACCTGCACAAATGGATGCAGGCACATATGTACACACGTAGGCAAACACACAACCACACGCATGTGTGCATACACATTTGCTTCTGTGAGATTACTGCTACAAGGATGTTTTCAGTCAGAACACCAGTGTCAAGTACTTTCTAAGAATAGGCCAGAGAAAGGGTGACAAGAAAGGGCTTAATATGAGTTCATCTTATTGGCACTGGACACTCCTCACCTGGCACCTCAGCCTGGGTATACTGGCTTTCTTTTCATATTATTTTCTAAGTCTTTTTCTGTAACTTTAGTTTTTGTTTTCTGTTGTGGTTATTCATCATTTCCTTTGGTTGACCACTGTATGTTTGTTTATTGCTTCCTCTTGTTTTTCCTTTAATCTTGCATCTTCTTTCTTTTGCAAATTCTCTTATTTTTCAATTTTCTCTTATGCGTCTATTTTTTACCCCTCCATTGTTTATTAAATCTTTCCAGTGCACTAGTTTTTGCATCTTTCCTTGATGTCTGTTTCCTTTTTTTCCCATCGTTCATTCCCTCTCGTCCTCCAGTCTTTTATTTCTGTTATGTATTTATAGGTTTGTTGGTAATTGTTGTTGTTGTTGTTATTGTTATTACTATTGCCATCATTATCTAACCAATGAAATATTTTATCAAATATTTTATCCAAAGTTTATGAATCATTTATTGGTTGATTAAAGGATGAATGCCTATACTCTTGTGGTGCAAGAATTTCAAATCTCTATATTTGGTTGCTCACGTCTCATGCTGTACACATAAATATTTAAAAAGTAACAACAGAGAAAGATTAAAATAAAACCTATGTACTACAGATGCATACCTAATACAAACATTTTAATAGACAAACTACTGTATAAGCACTTAGGTACATAGATACTAGATTCGTGTGCCTGCATGTGCACTTACATTTATGTGTAAATGCATTCATGTATAACTAAAACTTCCAAGTAACTTTAGGAATACCTCTTTAATGACCATAATGAACTTTGGTTGCTAGGGACTTAGTAAGATTACAAAGTCCAAGATTTAGTGTGATAAAGATAAATGGTTCTATCTATTGTGAAAGTTAGTCAGGGAAGTTCTAGGTAAAGAGAAGATAAGATAAGATTAAAGGTAATTTGTTCAGTAATTTGTTATGTTTCTTCCTAGCATCACATTACCCAATTATGTGTCGACTTTTTACTCACATTGTTGATATTGATGATGCATACTATGAATAGATAAAAAAATGTTGAGTAATGGTTGTGGCTTTGCGTGTGACTATTTAATCAGTATGTTTAATTATTCATGTGTGTTATCTCTGGGTTTATCACTTATCATTGCCCGGAGTCATTTAGTCCAGTGGCTGTCACCATCTGCCTCAAATCAAGTGCTCTGTATATTAGTGGTGTTAGGAGAGTAGGGGGCAAAAAAAAAAACTGACAAAATGACAAAGGAAGAAGTAAAGGGCAAGAAGCAAGGAGATGTTGAAATGACAATTCCTGATGCTATTATGTGGGCTGCAAAGGATATTATAAATGATCCAAGGTTGTCAAATCTCACACAGGAAAAGTACATACCTATGTGGAAGTATGGTAAGAGGATTTCTAACACTTATCCTACCATTTTAAATTATGGACATTATATATCATACAATTTAGATAAAAGTTTCTTGCAGTGTTCCTGAATAATATGAATTACAATTTGTTTATTAAGGATTTGAGAGGTAGGTGATGTGAACATGCCATCATAGAAAAAATTGGCTGAGGACCAGGGTGATGTGAACTTGCCGTCATGAGAATTTCAGCTAAAGGCCAGGGTAGCAAGAATGACGAGCCAAAAGTGCACAAAGCTCTTGGAGGGTGATTAGATTGGGCATTTAGGAACAGGAGGGTGATTAGACTGGGCATTTAGGAACAGGCTTTTGCAATATATCCATTAATAAACGAGTATGGACTATTCTATATGTGAGCCATGACTGGAAGGATGCTATTTCAGCCTATCATGACTGGCAGCGCTGGTTACAGAAAATTAAATGATACAAAAAAAATCGAAGTGACAAAAATAACAATATTATTTATTGTTATCATTATTGCACTGAATTGTGGACTACCTAGAGAGATAAGGAATCTGTGCAGGGAAAACAGTTTATTACCATCTGGATAAAGTATATCAAATGACAAATATAGCCATTGGAAAATTGGCAAAGCTAAAAACACTTATGCAGAAATAGATATTAATATTGAAAAGGTTAGGCAAGCAGTCTTGACAATATCTGTTGTCATTGCTTCTGCTTGCCAGTTTTATAATTACTTTGGAAATTTATATATGCGTTTCTTCTTCAGGTGCCCTTGTTCTAACAAGTGTGTATCTGGTCTTCGGATGGGGTGCTCAGTTGATCTGCAATGCCATTGGATTTGTCTACCCTGCATACTGCAGTATCAAAGTACAAACACTTAATTATTCTATTCATTGATGTTTAAGATAATTTTGAATGTCATGAATTTGCATAACAGGAATTTATTGCATTACCTTATGTATCTTTCGGATATCAAATAAATTTACTGCATCACTTAATCATCTATCCAATAGGCCCTGGAATCTGTGAGGAAAGAAGATGACACACGCTGGCTGACCTACTGGGTTGTCTTTGCCCTGTTCTCTGTTTGTGAATTCTTCTCGGATCTGCTCTTGTCATGGTTCCCATTCTACTGGCTGGCTAAGGTAAGTCTTCCAGGATAAGAGAACACTTACCAAAAAGCATACCTTTCATTAAGTGATTGTTGTAAATAAAATGTACAAGAACAAAAATCTTCTTTTTCGGTACTAATTAACAGTAAACATTTCTTGGTATAAATTTGGCTGCCTTTAAGGTAGCATATTGTAGAAGATTGTCCTAAATCTATGTTTGCTTGAAACAAGCAATATTCTTTTCTGAGAATTAGGAGGGGAATGTTGAAAGTCTACATGAGAAGTTAGCTAAGATCAAGGTTTAAGAAGCTTAACGTGTCCCAGAATACTACTAAAGAAATTTAATGCTAATGGAATTTTTTTTTTTTCCAGTGCTTGTTCCTGGTATGGTGCTTCATGCCAGTCTCCTGGAATGGATCAGAATTCATCTACAACCGTGTCATCAAACCTGCATTCATGAAGCATCAGCAGGAGATTGACACAGCCATGTCCAAGGTGACTGACAAGATCAACGAGCTGGCCGACTCTGCCACACGAGTTGCTGCTGATGCCATCAAGAAGGATTAAGGTGACTTTAGTTTGGTGTTGTGTGAATTTTACATTTATACACCCAATAAGATATTTAGTACTATGATTAGAGTTCATTGTGGCTTTTGTATAAAAGGTATAAAAAATAAAGAATAAATTGACAGTGCAAGGTAATTACAGTCATGGACAAAAGTCATGTGAATGCAGCTGTGAAACCTTCCTAACTTAGATAGTAATGGTCACATTATGTGTCTGTTTAAGATACAAGTCAAAGCCTGTGTGACAATAGGTTTTACCATGACTGTACTTGGTGTACTGATTAATTTTACATCTTCAGAGCTGAATAATTTTTATGATATCATACCAGTGTTAGTTATTTCTTGCATGCTGGAATTATTCTCATTTATAACATTTTTGTTCAGTATTCTTTCAAGTTTTTCTGAAAAGACTCACTAGTAGTGGAACTTTTGAACCTTCCTCCTTTGCACGATAAGTAAAATACTCAAGAGTATGTAAAAAATGTCTGAATTTGAATATAAAATAGCCTTTCCTTTACAGGAGAAACTAGGTGTGTTGCTTGCGGAAGATAAAATGGTTGAACATATTCTTGCCATCCATATGCTGAGGTTACAGAAGAGTGTGAATAATTATTAGCTGGTTATAATGAGACTGATGTACATATTTTTTTTGTTAGCTTATGAGCTTTTTCACAGATGCACATCTTTTTCATGAAAGATTTTCAGACAGTAGTCTAGTCAAATTTGATGCTAACACTCAAGTATTATCTCTTCTTGGTACGAAGAAATGTGTCCTTTTAAATTAATTAAGTTAAATAGCTTAAGGACTTTTACAAAGGAAAACAATCTTTTCTTAAGGTATATTCTCCTTTTTATATTATACATAAAGGAAAAATGTAAACGTGTAGCTATATTTTCTTTGTGAGTTGGGTGGTTTCTGTCTTCCCATGCACATCCCTTGTTTCTTTGCACAAGTATTCTTTAAAGACCAAAGGTTTATTAAGGCTGTAATATGATGATGCATAACTTCAGTATGTGTACTTTTCATAATGGGCATTATCTTTCATTCTAGGAATAAACTTTTCCAATTTATATGATTTTGTTTTTGTTTTCTAACCTTTATGATTTGATTTTGGTTTAAACCCATCAACATTATTCCTTGAATTGTTAAATCATTTTAGTTCAACAGTGATATCAAAATATGCTTCTTATGTAACAGCTGCAACTGAAAGGCAAAGATATGCTTATTTCATAATTATGTTGGTTTACTAGGCAGTAAAGAGGAAAAAAGATATCTAAATTTTGAGTGAAGAACAAGCAATTTACAAGAGTACTTGTACTTAAGGAAGATTTATACAAAAAAGAAGAATGTGTATATAAAGTATTTTAGCTATTTATTTTATATATTTATTTATTTTTTGCTCAGGGAAGGCAGACACAGGTTATTTTTCTCATACAATTTCTAATATGGCTTCATAATTAGAGGCCAGTAATTATTGTGAATTGTTTCATGTTTAACTGTAAGGCAAGTTTTGCAATAGCTCTAAAGATTTATGAGAAGCAAAAGCCTTTTTCATGGCCTTAACCATGCTAAAGCTATAGTAAAATGTTCATCTGCATAGATGAAGCAGTCTAAAGGTATTTTGAGGCACAGTAAACAAAGGCTATTTTGACTTCCTCTGCATTGCTTAGATATTGCTACTCCAACCTGCTGTAATAAAGATAGGGTATGCCTTTGTAAGTTTAGGAATCACAGTTCTCACTTTACTGATTTGATTATGATTTAGATAATGATTGCCATGTAAATACTAAGAAAATGAGTAAAGGAAATCTGCAGGAGCCTGTGCAGAGGACCATTTCATATTGACTTTGTCTTTCAGTGTTTGGAATTAATTTAGCACAAGTTATAAATAATTTCTGACAAATGAAGTCAGAGAGGTTCTTTACATACCTCAATGAAGTCTTTGCTTTTTATGTTATTAGCAGTCAAAAGGTCAACTCCAGTAATCTCTTCAATTCTGATGCTTTCACACACTCGCAGAACATTCATTATTTAATCACGCTGTCTTTTTATTTAAAAAATTCAATATGAATATTTGATTATTTATTCCTTTTTGGAAGTATAGAAAGTCAAGCATTTTGATATAATGCTTGAAAGTTTAGAGTAAAATAATTTCTTGTTTGTTTCCAGTCACATAATCCATTTTTGATGTGACTGCATGTGTAAGTGGCATGTCCACTGTGGTTTTATTAATTAATTTTGTTTACACTTGAATGGCTCTTTTGGTATTTATTCACAAAGGACTCATTACTAGGGCTATTTGATCTTCCTTGTTTAACCCATTCCTTGAATTTTTCGAAAAGCAGACTTGTTGGTATTATTATAATAAGGATGTATATAATAATAATAATGAAATAATAATTAGTATGATGATCATAGTATTAGGAATAAAACTAGGAATAAAAAGGGGGTAAACAGGCTTGATAAGGTAGGCCTACCAATTAACTTCTTGGTGATTTATCATGTGTAAAAATTGAAAACAGAAAATATTATTAATTTATATATATATAATGGACAGAGCAAGTACTTGGTGCCAAATAGGTTAACTGAATTATGCAAGCTCTGACTATATCAGATGTTAAGTATAAAATAACCATAGTGAATGGCATGCCTTGTCCACTGTATTTTAGTTTATTAACCCCTTGAATCTGGATGCATCACAGCAATCACATAGATGAAAGTACAGGCATTAGGCACACGTGAATACTGGTGTGTGGTGAGAAGACTACATAAATGTCTTTAGCTTTTTTGCCATTTTCCAATTTCCATATATCTTTTGATTTGCTTCATCCAGATGTTAATAGACTGTTTACCCTGCACAGATTCCATATCTCATGCAAGAAAAAAAGAGTAAAATTTTGTTATTTGCATCATAAATTTTTTGTAATGTTAAATCTTCTCTAATAGAACCTACGTTGCTGGTCATGGCAGCCAGGAATAGCATGTTGAGCATGGAAATGACATCCTTGGAGTTGATGTTCTTCCAGTCATACCGTATGGATGTGATATTTCATGCTCATTTATTGATGGGAATAATGCAAAGGCCCCTTTCTAAACACCAAATAAGTCTAATCACCCTCAAAGAGGGTTGTAGATTTGTGGTGTCTTTTCCATCACTTTGGTCTTCATTCATGATGGCAAGTTTGCATAACCAGGCCCATGGCCATTTTTATTCATGATGGCATGTTCACATGACCTGCCCCTCCAGCCGGAATTTTTCATGACCTGATGATCACATCAAAGGAGTTATTTTGGTTACACACTGATGGGGCTTCTTAACCCAGTCACGCCGGGTACATTCTGTAGCCAAAATAAAAAAATCCAAGCGGCTACAAAATTGGCGGTCGGAGCTTCCCCGGAGTCTGTCCGCCCGCCCGGCCGCGCGCCGCTTCTGCCTCGGAGCGCAGCCCCTAGACAGCATCACACTGGCGGTCAGCCCGACATTGTATATTTTTCCCGGTGTCTCATATATGTGACGCCCGGGGCGAATGGGTTAAGGACGGAGTCTTCAGGGACTCAATTATTAATCCTACCTATCTCACTTGTTTACCATTTTCCATGGTTTCCAGGAAGACTTTTATTTTTGATCGGTATTCATAAGTATTTAAATAACATGCTAATAATCAGTGTCAATAATAACATGCTATTAACCCATTGGATCTGGATGTTCCACTGTCATCACATGGCCCAAAATATGGGCATTAGGTTTACTTGATTGGCCACTCTGACGATGTGTGACTTATAGCTCCATGCGAATACTCATTTGCTGTGACAAGATTATGCCTTCCCTTTCAAATATTATTTTCTCTTTTTCTGCATAAACGTTTTTAGGTTTTCTGCCATTTTTCAATGTCCATATATACCATTTTATTTGTTTTATCCAGATCAGAATTGACTTTTCCTTGCGCAGACTCCATATTATCTCTAGGTAATCCATAAGTCAATACAAGAATAATAACAATAAGTAACATTTTTTCTATATCTAAATTTCTCTAATGCAACCTGAGCTGCCCATCATGGTGGTTAGGAATAGGACCCTGAGTATGGAAATAGCATCCTCCCTAGAGCTGGCACTCTTCCAGCTCTGGCTCAAGGACAGTATATTTCACACTCGTTTTTGGAAAGGATGCAAAAGCTCCCTCCTAAACACCAAATAAGTCTAATCACCCTCCAAGAGGCTTGTGCACTTTTGGTGAGTTTCCCATCACCCCAGCCTCACCTCAAAATGCTTATGATGGCAAGTTACCAAATTTTCCCATGGTGGTATGTTCACATCACCCGCTCCTCAAACTATTTTTTTTTCTTGATGTGATGGTTCACATCATATGGATTATAAGGGTTAATAACATTTGGAAAAAAATAAAATGAAATAAAATTCAAGGAATAGGGAAATCAAGTGAGGTGACTAGCACCTACTAATTGACTCCTTAAGAGTACTTGTGGGGCCATCTGTACACCAAAAATCAAAATGCAAAAAACTAGTGGACAGTAACCAATGGGATAAACTGTCTTCATATCTAGGACATACATCTATATAAAATATCTACACACAAAATGTTTATTGAAATAAATTGTATAATGTTTAAATGTGCTGGTTTAATTTACAAATAAATGTGATAACCAAACATGGAATGATGCTTAGATATATGTACTGAAAGGAATATAAATGTTCATTAATATCTCTAGTATGCAGCTGTAGAATACTTGTTCTAAAAACAAAATCTATTAATTTCCATTTTCAAAAAAAACAAAAATAAAAGCACACAACAAATTTTCCTGATAAAGCACATTAGTATTCCTAATGAATCCAGAGGGTGCTGCTTTTCCAATATTCCTAAAGGAGACATGATTTGGAAAGATACAAGAACTCGAAGCCAGTAGGGAAGATCATCTGGGACCAATCTTGCAACTAGCATCTGGCATCTGAAGCTGAAGCACAAACTACAATGATATTGTGTCTCTATGGTAGAAAGCTGAACTAAACGGGTAGAAAACTAAACAAAAAAAATGGGCCAGAATATGACCTTTATTTTATGAGTAAATGGAGTTTCACGGAGTGAGTGGTGGTTTAAGCATCATTTCAGCTGGAATTTCCATGGGGTTAAGACCAGGCACATTTTGGAGCTTGGCAGCTGATTCTTGTTGCAGTGTTTCCAACTGGAAGAGAAATATAAATAAAGAATAAATATGAATGATAGGAAGCTTGTATTGTGAAATACAGCTTACTATGAAGGGAAACAAGTGCATTTTATGAAAATGAAAATAAAATAGCAAAATTGAGAGCACAATGTAGCTAATGAACTTTATACTTAATGTTTATGTATTTTATTTTTGTGTCTAAGATTAATTTTACATTGTCAAACATAAAGGTCAATCTTTCCCTTTTAAAGCCTTAGATGAGCTTTCAACAAGCAATAGGTTTGCTATAAAAGAAATAAGAGAAAATGGTAATTATGAACTCTTGCATTCTTTTATTTATTATTTTTTTTTATTCTTCCATCTGTGTTCTTAACCCCTTGCCACCAGGTGGCATACAAGTACATGCCATGGCTGTTGTGGACAATGTAGCAGGTGTCAATGTATCATGACCATTCCCGGGCTGTTGGCTCATCGGACAGTGTTTTTCTCCAATATTAACAGCTTCATTTCTATGGTAAAGCTTTTAGGCAATAGCACCTAAAGTGAAGATAAACCTTCAATTTTTTTTTTTATATGGTTAATGGCTAAATGGTTAAAATAAATGTGCTAGACATCTAAGGTCAAATAGCACCATAGGAAAGTATATTAAAGGGGTGAAGGGTGATGGCTGCTATGCGTCAACTATCTAGAGTAATCTTGAAAGGTTAAAGGAGTTTCTGTGTGAATGGGCTATGGTGTGGGTCTAAGTAAGGGAGTTTATGGGTTTCAGGTGTATCCAGGAGGAGTGAAATATAGAGGAGGGAGGAAATTGGGTTGGGTTGGGGGGGGTTAGGGGGGAGGGAGAATGGTCGGTGATATCAGTAGTAGGCGGAACTGAGGGTTTAGGTTGTGTGT